GTAGAGATGGAAAACACATTTTGCTTTTATCTTATAAAATAGTTTTAAAAAAAGGAAAATAATTTTAGATATGACATCTATATAATGAAATGTCCAATTTTATATTATTTAAAATAAAATTAACAAAATAAGTAGGAAAAAATATGATTTCTAAAATAAAAACAGTCAAAGGCCCTAACAAAAGGGCTGAAGGCTTGTTAACAATGTGACTGAGATCCAGGCCACACGTGCTTTTTATAAGTGCAGACCAGGGTTATTAGACCACCTATTTTGGGGTAAACCTCGATTTCTTTATAATAAATTATGGCTTTCTCTTGATTTATTCTTAGTAAAATTTTAAAATATAAAATACTAAAAAATTAGTTTAACCAAAATTTACACCATCATTTTTTTAATTTTAATTTAAATCAAACATTTAAATAGGTATAATATTGTTATAGTTATTTCATTTTTCTATTCATTTTTTATAGAAAGAAAGAAATAAATATTTAAATTATAATTTTAATATGAAATATAAAAATATATGTATTGCCATAAAAACCAAAAATTTATTTTTATATACCCCACCCCCTATTTATTTCTTTAAAGAATTGTGAGTTGATATGATATAATTATATATCAGTATAGCTATCTCTAAAAAATTAGCCAGTATATAACCCTTCTTTTAAATTTGAAAATGAGAAATAAATATTTTATGCAATTCATAAATTCCAATCTACATAAAATCATATGGGAGAGAAGCTTAAAGCAACCCTACATTTTTTAAAATAATATTTAAAAAAATTTACAAAAAAATATTTCGTCCAATAATTTCTATTTTATTTAAGACTTAAATGATGTGGTTTCAACATCACTACATATCTACTCACACTTCTCAACATCGAAGCTCCCATTTGTCAACATTGCTTTTTGTTACCCACCATGCGAGGAAATGTATATTAGGGAAGAAAAGAGAAAGAAAATGATATATAAAAATAAAAGAATAAATAAATAAAAGAAACAAAGATATGAAAGAAAATACTAACCTGGGCCTGGACTTAAAAATAAATTTTTTTAAAAAAAATTTTAAGCCAGGGTCGTGCAAATAGTACCTCTGTAGGTCTAACTTATACTTTACGATTTTAAGGCCATAGATTTTAAACACATTCTCATTTGTAGCCACATTGGCATATCGTAGAAATGTATTATTGCTAAATCATTTAGACCTGAATTTTTTTCTTCTAAATCTGCATTTATCAAAAATTGTACCTTTGTAAAATATAATATGTCAGGAATTTTATATACAGTTTTTCATTAAAATCGTTTTGCATGATAACTTATTTTTTTTTATTCTCTTACCTGATTCAAAATGGACCCAAAAGATAAAATTTAGAAGATCAACAAAATCTTCAAGAATAGATTTAAATATCATATTGCGTGCTACTAAGAATGAGGATTAGAAAGAAAATTTATTCGTTTAATTTATTAATCAAATGGAAATATATTCTCAATAATACAACGCTAAATGTAGACTTCTAAAAATATTTCATAGGACTTGTCAGTAACGTTATGGGGGCGGGGGGGGGGCGCAGGGGCTCGAGCCTCCTGAAAATTTTAAATACTCCATCTAAAGCAAAAAAAAACATTTTTTAATGGCTCCCTAATATCACCTTGAACTAAACCCTGAACGATTTCTTTTATAATTCTTTTAATTATTATATATAGATTTGATTATATTATTTAAAAATTAATAAGACTCTCTAAAATTTTATTAAATGAGTGTTATTTTAATTATTATATTTCCAAGATGTACCTTGCACAATCAAATTCTGTGTTAAAATTGGTATATCAATTATAATGTCTGAAAATCAATTTAGCATTAGCATTTGAAGCTTATTTGATTTTTATTATTTAAATTATTTTATAACCCTAATTTAATAAATTAAATAATTTTTTAATTTAGAAATTAACAAATTTGATATTGTAATTAACTGAGTTCAAAATCACTAATCCATTTTTAAATTTAATTATTCCAAGGTTCGAACAAGTATAAGAAATTTCTTTATATAAAGTAAGTTGGTAGATAATCTTCTATTATATAGAATTGGTTAAATAATATTAGGCAAAATGCCATTTTTACAGATATATTTGAAGGTTATACAATATAATATAGTTTATTTTAATAAACTTTACTAATCAATGCTTTAGATAATAAATATAAGTAACAATTTGCATTCAATTCTTTAATGCCATCTATATAATTTTAATAAAAATATATTATTAAAAATTAAACCTCCTGTCATTCATCCCACAATGGATGTAATCTATTAGATACCTTTTTTTTTCCTTATATTTTTTTACATGTCTTAGGGATAGCTCATTGGGATAGCTATTTTTTTCTTCTTTGAAAAATATTTTTTTGAGTTAAATTTTTAATACATTTTTTGATATATTTTATGACATAATATACCAACTAGAGGTAGTGCAACAATAATATAAAAAATCTTAATTGCCCTCATCATATCACTCTAAATAAGAAAATATGAAATTAAGAATAATTGTTTAGAGTATACAAATTTCAATTAAAAAGTATAAAGTCGGTAGCCCAAGGCCAGGCAAAGGTTGGCCGAAGTCCCTCAAAATATGGGTATGAAGTGCGTAGCCCCATAAAAATATTTTTGATTGAGCCCCTTGAGATTATAAAGGCTAGTGACGCCCTGCGATTTGTAGATATCGAAAGATTTCTAATCTATGCTTGTGTAGAACCTTGATTTTATTAAAAACAAAATGAACAATTTAGGCAATAATAGAAAATCTTCTAAAAAAAATGTGAAAGGGATTTATTTTATATAATCCCTTTTTACAATATTTTGTGTACATATTTCTTATGTAAAAATTTAATAAAATAATTGTTGAAATTTAAATTTGATAACTTTTGGTTTGTAAGAATCTGGTAGTAGAACCTTTGTGTGAACCCCCTCCCCAAGGAAAATGTGTGGACCCCTCCCCTCAGGAAAATTCTTAACTACAGTAGAAAATAAAATATGAAATTAGATTATAAATGTCTACTTGATACGCATCAAAATATATTTAGGTCGGCTATTGATGGAAAAAATATTAGTCAAAATTCTATTTTTCGGCTCCGCCGGTTATTTAACTATCCCAGTTTTAGATGTATATTATGGTAAGTGATATTTTTTTTTCTTCTTAAATTTGATATTTTTAAAAAATAAATTTTGCTTAATTTCATGTACCTTAATATTTTTAAATAAAATTTTGTTAACCTTTGTACAATACTATCAAACCTAATAGGTATATACCACTTCTAAAATCTAATTAATTTATATAAATTAAATATAAACTCAATATAAAATCTCAATGTATTAATATTTATCAACTCATAATCTAAAGATTTAAGACTAATTATAAATTATCTTTATAACGCAAATTCTTAATCAAAATATATGATTCATTTAAAATAAAATTCATATTATACCTTGCAAAACATCGTAATTGATTACTATTAACAAACAACAAATTGATAAAATTATATCTTGAACAGTATAAAATATTCCGAAAATAGTTTTGGTAATTAAAATATTTAAAGTAAGAATAATATAATGTTATAGTATAAAGACTTCTTATTTTAAAAGAATGTTGGTTTTAGCCTCATTTGTTTTTTCATCTATTTATTTTATAACACGTAAAAAAAATATTTAAAATGTTTTTACTATGTGGATGTGTATAATTATCAGTTTATAAACTCGTATTCTAAATTTTATGTTTTTTATCATTAGTTTTTTATTTATTACTAAATATTTGTAGTCGAAATTAAGTCTGAGCAAAGATTGCCATTAATAACGGCGTTTATTGCTATAAGGTAATTAGAGTATAATTTGTATAACCATGAATAAACCTTTTTATTAGTATGTTAAACTCTTTTAATTTAAATTTTATTCGATCATGATTGGTTATCTTAGGGAATGGAAAAGAAGATACGAATGCACAAGAAATATAAAGGAACAATATATTGTTTTAATTTTTATAGCTAAATGACGATTTAAAAATAGTCTTAAAATATATGCCTCGCCCGGGATATTTAAAAAGAATATTTTTTTAAGCCCGGCCCTATTATATTTAAATTAATAAAAATACTGTGGGGTAATGCCTGCTGATTTCTGATAAATATCTCTGCGGTATCCAAATCTCTGATCAAAGCATTCCACTAAAAAAATAATTTCTAGATATTTTTTATTCATGGGAGGGGGGGGGGGGGTGAGATATTTTTTCCTAGGGAATTATGAATTATTTTTGTGAATAGTTTAGAATTTTAGTTTTGGTTAAAAAATGCCATCTGAAGACTAGGTAATCCGAAAAAACAACCCCTTAATATATAAGGATACAAATTATTGCATTAACAAAATTCAATTTTTTTTAATATTAAATGAGTAGAAGGATTTTATATTTAAATAATTTAAAATTTTTTTTAATATAAAGTGTATTGAATATAGTTACCCTAGTTAGCCAAGTAGTATCTGTAACCTATATCTAGATACATTTGATTAGTATATTTTAAACATATGTGAAACTTATTTAATTATACCTGTTAGGTTTCTTTTTTGAATTATAATTTTTTTAATATTATTTTTCCATTTTTATGTATTTTCATTTAACTTATTCTTCAATAACAATTTTTTTATTATTTCTTATCTGTGCAAAAATAGCTGATATTTAAAATTATTTTAAACGGTCTGAAATAATTAAAAAATAAGATTTTTTTAATAAAAATAAAATAAAGATAGGATATATTGGTTCAAAATTTTTAACTCAATTAGTAGAAAAAATTTATAATATTATTCCTTGATTTTAAAATAAAGGTTAATTATATATGAAAACATTATGATTGCAAAATAGAGATAGAAATATTAATCAATAATATCAAGGACTTAATTAAAGGACATAATAATATCAAGGATATAATAAAATGGATAAAATTACTATATAAGACTGAGTCTAGCATTCTTTATTAATAATTAGCATATCCTTATAATATAATTATAACTTCTTATAAAGTATATATTTATAACCAAGAAACATGTTAGCAAAATCCACTAAAGATATGATCAATTCTATTTTGTGCTTATTAATCAACTGCAATGTTTTACAAGGTATATTCATTATCACATTTATAAATTACTGCAGTACATTTTATAAAATTTATAATGTGTTTTGTTTTAGCAGAGGAAAGAGTTAGTTGTAGAAATTGAAACATAATTTTTCCAGCATCATCCCTTTTTATCCTTGTAGAGGATTTTTTAAAGAGTTATGTTTCTTCCTACAGTTGATTTTCCTGCTTTATTCTTCAATTATTATTCTTTTTGTACTTTAATTCCTATTCATTAGTAACAGGGCGATCTTGGGTCAACACAAGAACCAAACTTTTTTTTTTATAAAATAAATTTGAGAACAGGAAAGCCGACCAAAGATATTTTTAAAACTGTTATTATTTTTTGATAATTATTTTTTTTCGTACTAGGAACGAGATTTGTATTGTTGTAATGCTTCCCCCCCCCCTTTTTTTTGTCAACTCAAGTTTTTCTGTAAAATACATAATCCCTATGAGGATTTAATCTATTTAAATGTTGTTTGGTAACCTATTATACATGATAAAAAATTATTAGAAACTAGCGGAAAGTCAGTCAAGAATGATGAGGAATCGGAAATTTATTTTCTAATTCGATCTGAATATCCCCTTTATTTGATGATTAATATATCAAGTTAAATCTGACAAATAAAAAGTAAGCAAGTAAAAATGATTTCTCATAATTAACATCAGAGCTCCCGTTTATCTAAATTGCTTATCATTCACCACCGCGTGAAGATGGGAGATAAATTTTAGGATGAGAAAATAAAAGAAAAAATGTATGAATAAAAGAAGGTAGAAATAGAAGAAAAAAACTGACAAAGATATGAAATATGAGAAATTTAACATCGTTTATGTTTTAAGACATGACAAATATAGTGTTTCAACATACATGAATTTTGCAGTCAGAGAAAAATAATATTATATAATTTATAAATATGTCATAAATCATCTGAAATGTTAATATAAGTGTAAAAATTGAAAGTATAAAATAGAAATTAAGATGATGAAGATGTTGCCTTTTATGATTCGGATGATGTTTATGGTGAGATTAATATTAAGATAAAAAAAAATTAAAGAGTGTAAGATTTACTGTATTTGGTTGAAATATAACAATAATTGGAATTTTAAATTGTTTATTTTTTCTAAATTATTACTTAATACTAATATTTCTTTTACAAGTGACCCATCAAACTTTAATCTGAATTGAACTTTCTCCAGACTTACTTCGAGATTACAACTATTACTATTTAAATTTATATGATTTCTTACTCATTATTTTTTTTTACATATGAATACCAATTTCCTTAGAACATATATTATATTATTATAGTAAAAAAAAATTTAAAATTAAATCAGTTTACAAAATAATATTTCTGTACTTCTAAATTATTCGTTTGATATCTATGAATAAAATTTTTAAAGGTTGCAGAATCAAAACGTTCTTCAATGGTAGCTTTGAAAAAAGAGAGATAAATGACAATGTTTTACTCTTCATTTCTGGTAATAATAAAAAATATATATTGAATTTAACAAAATATGATTTTCTTTTAAATATCATACGATTGAAATGTGTGTGATTTGAACAAACTTAATAGTTAATTGCCGCTATATAACGGCACCTTAAGGAAAGCATCCTTTCATGGCAAATAACAGGTCCTTGTAAAATATAGCGTTTTTAGGACATGTCCCGTCTTTCGCAAAACTGAAAAGGCGAAATTTTTATAATTTAAAATTATTATATTTAAAAAATTTAAATTTTTTAAAATGTACAAAAAAATTTCTTAAAAAGGCTTGGTTATAACGATACTATAGAGCGAATGCATTATGGCAAATTTTTATCGTGAATATTACTTGCGAGGCCAATACTATTTTAATGTATTTTCGCTGAATTCTTGGAATACGATTACGAAATAATAAATAATTTATGAATACACTTATTGAAAAACATATTAAATAAGGCATAGGTTCTTAAGGTATAATGTTGTATGTCTTATATTTTGTTACTTTGTGCTAGTATTATATTAAATTTGCAGTTTCGAATTGATCTTTACTAGTTCCAAATTATATTTGTTTTTAAATTGTTCAAAATGAAATAGGGAAAGCTTAATTGCAATCAAAATAAAATTGGCATTGAAAGAAATTTAATGTTTTTTATAATTTTTTAATAAAAAATATCATTATTTAGAACATAAAGTTGGATCCATGAATAAGGATCACATTACCTTCAAAAATTGCAATGGAACACTAGATCTTTATTCTCAGATGGATGATGGATTTCGTAATATTTATAAACGCTTTATCATAAACATCTGGAATATGTTTTAATTTTTAAGACGTTCATTGGGTGGTTGAATTTAATTTATACGCTATTATGCAAACATAAAATCTATTTTTAAAGAAAATATAACTTTTTTAATCAATATAACTTGTTCAAGATTCCTTAAAAAAGTAAAATTATATGTTAAAATGGAGAGTAGTTTTAATTGAAATTTTAACACCTCATTGTAAAATATAGTTTGCAAAAACTTGTCTATGAGAATTTTCGCGTTTAAACATGTATCGTTCTCTACTTACTAGTAGTTTTAACTCCCAATAATTTCCATATTTAAAAGGAAAATATATTTTAAAAAAAATTATCTTGTATAATTTATAACTCATTTCGTTGACTTTGACTAAAATCACAAATGAATCCCAATTCATTTATCAGAGAAGTGATGTTCAGAAAATTTAAAAATTTTAAAATAACAATGAGAAATAAATAGTAATATTTTTAAATATTTTTTAAAGGTTTTAACAATTCTTTGATTGTACTTTTAAATACCAGAGATATTGGTGGAGGTACTACGAATAGAAAGTATAGACTTAACAACAAAGGAACTAACAAAACTATAAAAGGACGGGTAATAGAATATTTATTTTCTATCATTTAAATTATTATTCTATTTTATATTAATAATTTTAGCGTATAGGCAACGATCAAAATAATATTATATTACATTGGCTTAACTATTAGAAAATTTATTTCTTTAGCCAAAAAAGAAAAAAAAATCTACATTTTATCAAAATTTAATTTATCCGTGCTTTAAAAAACCTAATCAAAATTATAACATAATCTTTATATATATATATTTTTTAAAGGGGGATTGGAAATTTATTCTAAAAAAATTGATTTAAATTATTGTCACTTTATCATCATAAATAAATATAGAATAATGATTATATTTCAGTATAAACTGTTGCTATACTATTTCATTTATCTCCTTCTCCATTCCTTGTTTAAAAATTATCCGATGAATTGTTTTATTTTAAATTCAAAAACTTTCCAAAAAAATATGATGCACCTTAAATGAATGTGCATAAGAAATTTATTACTAAAATAAAAACCCTTTAACGTCTTTTCTGATCATAATATTAAAATTTATTAGCAATATCAGGTTTCATCTAAGATTTAATTTTCATTAGACAATTTTATTAGCCTTTGAAAAATTTGGGCTCTTCAATAAAAAAAAAAATTCTCCACATGTCACAAATAAAATTGTTGAATTTTATTATATTATATCATTAACTGAAAAAAAATTTATGTTAATTATGATCCTACATTATCAATATATTATAATTAATAACAAATTTAAATTTTTATATTGTAAAAAAAAAACTTAAAATTTTAAAACCGATTTATTATGAGTGTGATTTAGAAAATGAATGATTCCAATTTATCTTTGATCACCTTGTAAAATCTAAAAAGGATTAAAAATATTAAAAGACAGCTTTATATTTATTCCAAAGTTTCTTAAAACTTAAGGCAAATACAACACAAAATTTTGAAAATAACAGGAACAAAATCTATAAAGATCCTAATCATAAAATGAATAACATTTTAAATCATGGGAAAAGAACTTTATCGTATTTATATGTAATTGATTTTTAAATCTTTAGTCACTTTTATATTTCACTTATAACTGAATTCTAGTTAAAATTTATTTGACTAAAAAACTGATATGTGAATTAGTAAGTATTAATCAGACAAGTCAAATTAATGCAACCAGATATTCAGTGCTTATATAATTTTAGTTATGATATTGGTCATTAAGCATATTTGTTAAGCTATATCTACCAAACGAAGTATTATAATATTCTAGCTATGTTATTGATCTAAGTTTCAGAGTTAATGCTTTCAGATGTTTGGCTGACATCATGCTTAAGGCGTGATATAATAGTTTTTATTGACCATATAATTATCTTATCAGCGAAAATTAATAATTAAAAAAAAATTAAAAACGCAAATCAGATATTTAGAAGTTATATTTTCAGAAATACAAGCTTGGAAGCAAGACGGCTTAGTTTTTATCTTATATATAACTCAATGACTGTTTGTGTGGTTCGCTCTAACCATATATTTATTTCTTCTATATTTTCTATTCGCATGGTAAGTTTGGCGAAAATAATATTGAATTTTAATGAATAAGAATAAATATATAGAATAACTTGAATGTGATGTGGTCCTTTTATTGAATAATATTGTTATACAAAAGAAAATAAAATGAATGGTTTTTTTTATCTGTGTGTATATCAAAAATAATCAATATATATCTCGAAAATCAATTGTTTTCCAATCACTTATATAATTAACAACCTTTAATATATTATTACAATCTAAATATATCTTCTTTTCGCCTTAAGTGAAACATTTGTCAAAAAGTAATATATAAAACATAAATGTAATTGAAAACACTACTTTAAATACATAATATATGTTGTATCATACAACAAGTTTAAACTCAGTTTATAATTGATATTTATGGACGGTTCCAGATAATTTAGTTCTTCTAGAGAAAAAATAATAATTATTTTATGTATTTAAAGTTATTTACTTATTTTTATATATTATAGTTGACTTTGACATATAAAATCCCTGCAAAAATATTTTATTAAGAATAATAACTATAATATAAAAACTTCTTTGAATTACTAAATATCTTTCACATCTTCGAAAAAACTTTAATTTCGTTTTCGGTAATTACGTATTTTATAAAAATGGAATTTAAAATGGAAGATGTTTATTTATTCGGTAACTCAGGCAAAATTTAAAACTTACATAAATAAATGTGGATTTTACATTTTTATAGTTTAATTTATAATAAAACAACCCTTTGATTGTTTTGGACATCATCTTCTTCATTGTCGATTCTCTAAAGGTAGATATCCTAGACACAGTGCAGTTAACGGCACCATTCTCCGTTCTCTACGCTCAGCTCAAATTCCCGCAACCCTTGAACCCTGTGGCCTCTCAACCGAGAATAATATACGGCCAGATGAGCTGACCTTAATACCTTGGAGTAATGGAACTCCGTTAGCATGGGATTATACTCGTATCGACCGATTCGTTCCCTCCTCGCTTTGTAACAACTCATTCGTGCGAGCGGAAAACTCTAAAATTAATAAATACACTTCCCTAACCAATTGCAATCTCATACCAATCGTATCCGACACAACCGGTTTTTTTGGCAATCATGCCATAACCTTCTTCAAATCCCTTGGTAAAAAATTTGCACCATCACTGGTGACCCACAGGAAGGCTTCTATCTCAGACAACGCATATCTATTGATATATGCACATGTAACTGCATTGCCATCCACGGCTCCTTTTCTTGACCTCCACCCACCCAACATACAATTTATTATACTAAATTTTTTTATAGAGTTTTTTATATAGATTTTAATTTACAAATAGTTTACATGATATTTTTAATATATATTTTAAAATTTCGTATATACTTTTAACGCTCAATGTATTATTTTTAAAATTGTAATATAGTTTTATATAAATCTATGATGAAAATAAATTAATTTACATACTTAAAAACAGTATTTTTAATTTGTATTCGTTTGAAAATCGCTACAATGTGTAAATAGGAGTTTAACAACTTGATAATATGTTGTTAATGAATTTAAAAGAATTATGGATTAGGAAGAATGGTGTAGTTACTATTCATAGAATTTGTGTTTTGTAACGAAGATTCAGAGAATGTAAGATATGTTGAAAATGGAACATACCAGTAATTTCTTAATGGCCAACATTTTAGTTTTTTAGAAATAGAAAATTATTTAGTTATAAAGTGTGACGGGACAAGGATGGAGTGGGGTGAGGGGAGGAGGTGTTATTTACTGATGAGGAGAAGCTATTCTAGTGATTGTCATAACATAATTCTGTGCTGTGGAAAATTAAGACTATTTAATATATTCTATCTGGAGGCTAAAGAAAATACGAAAAGAGTTTATCAAAAATTTCTTATTAGAATATAGAAATCTCGGGTGGTAAAAGATTTTTAAAAATATGGTTGAGGGGTCTTTAACAGTATAAAATTATTATTAAACATGAGTTAATTTAATATATGTTAAATATAATATAATTTAAATTATAAATCATCAAATTATAATGTTTTTCTAAGATTTTTAAGCCGATTTGGGGTTAGAGTAGTCTATGTGAAATAGGTAATGATCGTTATTTTAAAATATTCATATGATTAACTTAAGATATATAGCATAAAGACCTAATGGAGACTAGTATATATATATATCAGAGACCTGCAGGTCCGGCCCTAAGCGGGCCCGTATTTTTTTTTAAAACATGAATTAATATATTCGTCGATATGGTTCTAATTATATATAGTTATGATTAATATAGTTTGGTGAAAGTTAACACTAGCTAACACTCATAATATCTATTCATATAAGTATATTTTTCCTGCCATGGAATAAATACGCAAAGGATTAAATACAATATTATATAATATATGTTATATTTTTTATTAATTAAAATATCAGTTTTCTTTTTTTTTTTATAAAACTCAATTTTTTATTCAAAAAATATTATGCAAGCCTGAAAATTTTGCTCATAAAAGGAGCAAAGGTCTAGACATAGTATCGAAATTTTGAGGCTTAGTTAATATTTTTCTGGCGAAAATATTGAGTTAGCCGTTTTTGAAAATCGGCTCGAAACGAGTCGTTTAACAACATTAGCTAATATGCTTGCTTATTAAATGATAATATTCGCCGAAAAATATGATAAAATACTAATAGATGAATTTTTTGTATATACCAGGTCGAATATTATTTTAAAAAAATTACGGGCCGGGCCTATTAAAAATTTTATTAAAAAATCTAGGCCGGGCCCCAAAAAATTTTTTTTTAAATATCCGGGGTCGGGTTGTGAATTTTTAAACCCGGGCCGGGCCGGGCCGTAAAAAATTTTTGAAAAAAAAATCCGGGCCTGGCAGAAAATTTTTTAATCCGGGCCGGGCTGGGCCTTGCAAATGGAAGGTTTCTGATATATATATTAAATTTAAGATTTCCTAAGATTCTGAGCTTCTAAATTGTCTCTGTTTAAAAATACAAATTGTTCGTTTAGGTTTTAAAATAGCTTAAATAATAAAAAAAACTATCAAATACATTTTTTGGCATTTATCTAATGGGACAGTATTTTTGATTATCTATTTAAAATTAATTTTAAATCATTATTTTTTTTATTATTAAAGATTTATTTGCTTTATCTCAATATTAGATCAAATTGGAATAATTAAAATATATAATCTTGTTTTATGTAAAAGATAAATGACATATGATAAGATATGCAAGATATGCAAAAATAATTTTTTAAGATTTTATCAATGAATGTTCTCTCTAGCATAATTACCATCGTTCAATTCTACAATAACAATGGTTAAACTTTTAATAGTTCCTTTATATAAAAATACCCATAATTTTAATATAAAATTTAAGAATGAAAAATTACAAGCTTAATAACAAAGGAACAAACTATATCGTAAAAGAATTGGTAAGAAAAATTTTTACTTTTCTACCTTTCGTGTTATTATCATATTTCTTTATTCGTGATTTTAATTTTAGCGTATAGCCAATGATCAAAACTATATTTCCGTGTTTTGGCGTAACAATTAGGAAACGAGTACCATAGAACCCTTTAATAATTATTATTTTCAAGGCAAATTTTATGGATCCAAATTTAGATATTAAATAATGAAAAAAATTTCTTTAATAAGGTGGTGGGCCTTTATGTATAAAATAATAACTTTCACTGTAATTACTTTAAATATATGATTAATGTCAATTGATATATATATCTCAGATTTGGAATAACGAGGAATAAACTATGTAATATTTACATATATTGATTTATGAAAATTTACATTTTTAAGGTAATATTCTGCTGGTTTTAAAACCAAAGAATATATAGCATAATGCATTCACATATCTTAGAATTTAA